TACCTACCTACCTTCCTACCTACCGACATGACTACGTGCCCTGTAGCTGTGTACGCCGTGTAGACTGGCGTTTCGAGACAGAGGGGTCCATGAACTCGATCCGCCCGGCGGCACGAGGGGAGGCGCTCGAGGACGAAGTGCCCCCATGTAGGGGTGACAATGACGGCGATGGAGTCTTCCGCCTCGCCGACGCCGTCAAAACGGCGAAGCTGTGGTCCTCCTTGAATCGCCGACGCCGCGCAACGGCGAACGAATTGTCCGCGGTGACATCCCGGGACGCGCCCTCGCGAGAATTCTCGGAGGTATGTGGCGCCTGCGACCCGCGCTAGCTAGGGCTCAGTGAGGGGTCATTGCGGGTGAGCCTGTGCGGCCCGACGCGACGCGAGACAGTTCGTGTGCATGCTCGAGGGCTAGATTAGGGAGCGCAGGAACTCTCGGCTCCCGCGGAAAAAGAAATCAGCGCGCCTAAAAAAGCGCGCGGGGGCGGCGGGTGTGCGGCGAGTGTGCGGGATGTCTGTGGGCCCGAGAGCGATATGCCATGTCCGCCTTGCGTTGTTTCATAACATCGAAGGCTAAGCTCAAAAAAGAAGCGGAGCCGCGCCCACCGACGGCCGAACGAAGAGGCGGCCAGGCGCACAGGATGCCTCTCCCACTCCTCCCAAAGATCATCACCTATACCTTTGCCACAGCGCACGCCGCCACCGGCCTCGCCGCCCTCCTCGGCGAGGTTGACCTGCTGCAGGGAGTGCTCCTCGACACGGCCAAGGCACGAGCATGTAGCTGCATAGCACCCGAGCCTCGACTTCTACAATCATGCATACCCCAGCACGAAGCGCGGCCTCATCGCTGATGTGGCATTCGCATTGCGTTGCCAGCGAGTAAGCTTGTGGCAGCAGCAGCCCACCTGCGCCAATCCTCCCCACCCTCCAGTTCAAAGCCCTCAGCCCCCTGACGGACGAGTCCTTGGCCGCCTTCCTTCGCGGCCCAAAAGCAAACGGTCGAGGCACGGCGCCCAATGTCAGGGCCTGGGGCGCGCGGCAGTTCGCCGTCGGTGCGGTTTTTGGCTTCGCGGCAATTTCCGGCGAGGTTGCGGCCTACCAAGCGGCGCTTGTCGCCTTGCTTGCTCGGTGCGCCGTCCGCTACTCCCGCGACCCTGCCGCGCGTGCTCGATACTGTACCCTGGGCTGCGTGGCCTCCTGTGCGACTTCAGGTGCGGTGGCGATGTGCTCCAGAACCTGCTCGATGGGTGTTGGCTCCCGGAATCCCCCTGTCTTCTCTCTGGTTCTCTCTTTTGACTTTCCCAGATCTCTGGTCTCAGGTGCATGTGGAAGGTGGCGCTCTTCCTGGGAGTCGAGGGGGTGGCGGGGGCGCTCATGTACGTCAGCGCGAATTAAGGACGACTCGGTGAGAGTGGCCAGCGCTGCGCGCGTTGTGCGTTGTGCGCGCGATCGTGGATTTTTCTCTCTCTCTCTCAGTTGTATCTGGCTCTACGTGCGAAACGTGGCTCTTACATCGTTACGAACATAGAGAAGAGAACATACTCGAGGTGGTTTGCGATGTGAGGAGCTGCGACTCCGAATTGTTCAGTTCTTAGGCAGACGAACAAATTCTCCGTCCCGCTTTTTCTCATTTCCAGTACGCCCCCCGAAAATTCTTTTGATTGTGGTGTACCTGTGTTAGTGCCAGTGCGCGCAGTCCCGTGCCCACAGTGTCGTGCGAGGGAGTTCGTTGTAAAATTCTTTTGATTATCCTCGCAGGAGTCGCTTAGGCGGCTCCCGTGGTGTACCTGTGTTAGTGCCAGTGCGCGCCAGTCCCGTGCCCACAGTGTCGTGCGAGGGATTTCCTTCTTTGATTGATTGATTGATGGGAAGGCGAAACACAGTCCGACCAACGACTGGGACACCAACGCGGTATGGGTGGACGCTAGACGGGCGATGACGGTCACACAGGAGCGACACACAGAACCACAAGACAAGACACTCAGCCAAACTGACTGCCACACATCCTGAGCGAAGTTCCCTAGTCACCCGCGGCCGGACTCCATCCGGCACGCGTCGCTGGGCGCTCAGAGCCGCGTCCCCTGCTCGCCGACGCCGAATTCTTTTGTGTGGGCGAGTTGGTTGTAAAATTCTTTTGATTCCTTGGGACGCGTCCCCGTCCGATGGCGTGCTCTAGCGCAACCACTACTGCAGCGAGCCCGTGCCCTGCTTAGTACGACCTAACTGTTCTCGCTCTGCAAATGGGTTGCTGGCTTAGTACCGAAGCCGAAGGCGTGACCGTCGAGGTCACCAACAAGTCCTCCCTCCCGGTGGTTCTGTGGGTCTCCGGTGCCGGCCCGGTTCGGCAGCGCAGCGGCGGCAGCCCAATCGTCCCCGCCAAGACAACCGTCAAGATGGCGCCAGGCTCAGCCGTCGGTCTCTGGCAAGCGACCATCGCACCGCCATGCCCAGCTCTCAGCTCGCTCATCATTTGGGAGGAGCGAGTGGGCCACACAGAAGGCGCAACGGTGATACCGCTGACTGTCAACTTCAACCGTGCGCTGCCGCTGAATGGCTCTGACCTCGCCCTCAGCCTCGGCGCTTTCACATTCATTGTTGCGAAGCAGCGCGCCGTCCGGATGGCGCTGCACGATAAGTTGCGGCGCCAGAAAGCCATTCAGGAATCGACCGAGCGCCGCGCAGCCCGAGTCCTTACCAAGCGCGCGCGAGAGCTGTTGGCACAGCTAACGAGGCTCTGCCCCGTATGCCTGGAGGACTGCCCAGTCACGAGCCTCACAAAGCTGGCCGACTGTGGACACAAGGTCTGCACGCCTTGCGCCAATGCCTTTGTCGACGCCGAACTCCTCGGAGGCAAAGCGTACGTGCGCTGCCCATGGGCTGGCTGCGATCGCCTCCTCGGCAAGGCGGCGCTGCGACAGTTTGGCTCGGCCGCGGCGTGGGATGCGTATGAGTCAAGCCGCGTCGCGATGCACACGCAGCGGTGTGCCACTAGAGGGACGAGACATTACTATCCAGCGCCACGTACCACGAGACGTCGCGAACGAACCCGCCTCCGCAGGCTGGTCGACGAGACCGACCGCGGCTTCCTCTTGTTCTGCGCTGACCAAGCCCGCCGCTGCCCTTCCTGCATGGTCGTCATCTGGCGCTGGGCAGGGTGCCTCGCCAGAGAGAGCAGACCGCCCCACACACGCTCGCAGCCAGACGGTACACCTTAGACCTTTGCAACTATAGAGCTGCGGCACCGTTCTGGTGTCAACTGCTAGTGTGCTATAACCTGCTACCTGGCAGCCGCGCCCTCCCCGGACCAGGTGCGACCACATGACCTGCCGCTGCGGCTTCTCCTTCAACTGGAATGAGGCCGCCGCCAAGATTGCGCCGCCACCTGAAATCACCTCGGCAAACGACGTGGCGAACAAGTAGCTTAGATGGGAGTCGGGAGAGCGAGAGAGGGACGGCATCGGACCAGAGCACGGAGATTATCGCGGTGTCCCACAAGATCATGTCTGTCTATTATCGGCCACAAAAAAGGATATTCTTCAAATCGTCCCTGCCTCCCAAACTGGCGATACCGATTGTCGGCCACAGATTTGTTCATTGGGATTCGGCCACAAGAGAGGTTTAAGGGGCGTTCGCGTTTTTGTATGAAGTTTTGCAAGAGCGAAGGAGGCCCCCACCGGCACCGGCACCGGCACCGGAACCGAACCCCCCCCTCGAGCTCTTTCCCGCAACTCTCCAGCTCTCCAGCTCTCCGGCTCTCTCCTCTGACGCACTACTCTAGTTTATCTCGGCTTCTTCACATGATCCAAACATCTCCATGAGCACGTCTAGTACGCGCTGTGGGGTGGGGTGGAAGGGACTCCGCGAAGGCCGGAGCGGTATCTCCGACTCCGTGAGTGCCCTACGATAAACTAGAGCCGTAGTGGCCTACCACGAGTTGGGGCCCCCACCCCAATCGTTACCGGCGGATATTTTTCTTTGACCACCAGTCCTAGCCTCCACCCCAGCGCGCAGCGGTGTGTGCGGAAACTTGCGTTACAAGAACCCAGAACAGCTGCATGTGCATGGGCACGCTTACACGGTTTTACGCGTTACCAACGCGAGATGCACAACTAAATGCCTTTCACAGACAATCCCTGAATGATTGCGACCCTGTTCTCTCCCCTTCTACTCAAAGATGGTGCACGAGGGTGTAGAGCCGACGCGGGGTGATGCCCACAGATGCAGAGCCCTCTTCCGTGGCGGCATCATCACGGACCGGGTGAATCGCTACGCCGACCTCGTCGTCGTCGTCGTCGCAGAACACGCTGCTGAAGCCCGGAAGCCCTGCAGATAATGTGGCGCGCGGGAAGTAGAGCCCGCCCCGCACGAAAGCGCCGCCCAGGCTTGTCTCAGCGCACGGCGTCCCCGCCTTCTCGACCTTCCCGCTCTCGGGACAGCACGGGTGGTGACCGGTAAGTGCCCCCTCCCCCCCGGTCACCGCCCCGCCCCGACTTGGCGCACCAGATCAACACAGGATGTCCACAAAGTTCCTCCGTGTCGGGTGATTCGAAACCTCATACTCCTGGCCGCAGGGCAGCATCGAAGAGATGAAGAACGGCGACCAGCGGAACCAGCTGCTACCCAAGAAGGTTGAGGCCTTCGCTGGTCAGCGGGTCGTCGCTGTGTCGGCTGGAGCATTCCACAGCATCGCTCGCATTGCCAACGGCGCTGTCTTTACCTGGGGCAGGGGCGGCGACGGCTGCCTAGGCCACGGGGAGGAGCTGTCCAACCAGCTGCTGCCGAAGAAGATCGAGGCGTGGGCGCCGGGGCAGTGAGTTACACCTCAGGAGTGGCGCCATGGCGTGTTGACACTCGACGGAGCTCCCGGAGGTAGGTGGGTTGGGCTTGGCCCAAAAGGGCTCTACTGCGATAGTTAGTAGGGCGTTCGTTTGCTGTGGACAGACCGGGGTTATGCCTTTGTGTGAATGAACGCATGTGCATTTTCTCATTTACGGTATCTCGCTATCTATGATGTATCTTATTCGGACCCCCCCTTGGAGCACTTGGAGTGCAGTCGGCAACCGCACATCCAGGGCCGAGGCCGGCGAGGTAGGCGTCGCGCCAGGTCGGGAGAATGCCAGCAGCGTTGAGGGAGAGGCTGATAGCTGTGGCGCTCGTCATCGCTGATTGCCAGAGTTGAGCCGGTCGCGGAGTCGACGACCGGTGCAAATTCCGCCCCGCCGACCACCCGTTGAACCATCCGACAGACAGCAGCAGCAGCACCAGGTAGACGGAGAGCCCACGTACAAGGTCCTCGTCCGTGGGTAGCACAGCAAGGAGCATCGCGGAAGCGCCACAAAGGGCAGCTGGTGCCATAAGTGTGCCAAGGGTGGTACCATCCAAAGTATCTAGGCTCATTCCGACGACGAGGGCGGCGGATGACGCCACACAGACGACCAGCCCGCCGCCAAAGGCGACGAGGCGGATGCGCCGCTTGCGCATGTCTGCAGCGGCGCGCTGCTCCTGCATCCGCTGCCGAGCGCGCTCCTCGAACACGACCGACGCGTACAAGCTGACGTACATGTCCGTCACCTGAGGCGGCGGCGACGGCGAGGGGGATATCTCGAGGAGGACTCAATGGGGCATCGTCGCACGGCGCCACACCTTCTCCTTGTCGCCCTTGCCGGTGAAGGCGATGACTCTCTCCTCGCTCCCTTCCACCGTCTCCTCGAGCTGAGCCTTGAACGCGTCGGGCGTGGGCGCGCTCGTGAGGCGCACAGGCTGCTCGTCCAGCACATCGATCATCTTTGGCGCCTGCCCCGCGCTGCCCAGCCCGAGCTCGCTGTGCGTGCCAAGGATGATCTTTGCAAAATTACTCTCGCCGTGGCACCTGCGAAACAAGTGAGAGTGTCACAGCCGCCTAGAGGAGACGTCAAACGCGGCCGACGCACCAGCCACGCCGCTCATACGGCCGGGTGTTGTAGAGCATGCCGATGGCCTTGCACAGCTGCTCCGAGCCCGCCGCCACAGCCGCAAGCGCAGCATCTTGCGTGGCGAAGCGAACGATCGCTGGAGCTCTGCGCAGATCACACATCTCGATCTCGCCAAAGCAGCTGAGCGTTGCGAGGATCGCCTGCTCGTTGACACCGTTCTTCAAGTCGAAGAGGCAGACGGAGCGCTCTCCCCACTCCGGCGGCTTTGGGATGTTGGCCAGCCGCAGCACCGTCACACAACGGGGGCTCGCGTACAGCCCCGCCATGACGGCGAGCGATGCTGCGAAGACCATGGACTCTTCGTCAGTGCGCACGCCGGCGATGCTCTTCTGCGGACGCCGGCGGCAAGCGTGTCAAATCGCTGGCCCTCAGCGTTTGGGTGTGCTGGCACAGGGGAGGGGAGAGAGCGAGCCTGGACTAGGCTCGCTTGATCCCAGAAGAGCGCGACGAAGCCACGCCCCGTGGGCGAGTGGAGGAAGGCTACGACGTGCTGCAAGTTCTCACCGTGCGGATCGGGATGGTGCGGCGTGAGCCCTGTGTGCGTTTGCGAGAGAAGGTTCTCTCTCACTGTTTGAGACGCTCCAGGGCGGGGGCGGGGCACATGGCGGGGCTAGGCGCGCACAGCCGTAGGTGAGCGCACAGACGCTGCGGTCCTGCCGAGCAAAGAGCGTGGCCGCCTCTGCAGGCGGAAGCAGCGCCTCCGATGGCAGGTCCTGCCGGCGCGACAGCACATAGCCGGTTGGGCGCGAGCGCAGCCAGCTGCAGCGGAGCAGCCGGATATCGCCAGAAAGGAGCAAGGCGTGCACCCGCTGGTCATGCGGCCCAAGCCCCGCGTCGCTCTGCACCTTCTCGAGGCCGAACTTACTCGTGGACCTCTCGTGCTTTCGCCGCACCTCTTGGAGAATGCAGACCAGCGCCCAGAGCAGGCTGAGCCCGGATACAACAGAGGAGAGAGTGAGCGCCACGTAGTGCAGGATGAGGGCCGCTTCGCGAAGGTCGTGCCTCGTCAGCTCCATCGCCGCCAACCAACCTAAGCAACCAACCTAAGGTCGCGGAGGTTGGTCACGGAGGAGGCCGCCTCAAAGATCAGGCCGACGCCTCAAAGATCAGGTCGCACTGGACGCATCCCTCCCGTACTCGAGTACATCCTCCGCGCTACGTTGTGCCCATGCCTGATGGGGTCAGCCGCCCGCGACGCGCGCGTGAAGAAGGCCAAACAGAAAAAACTCAGCTTAAAACTTCTAGAAAATCCCGCAAAGCGCACGCATCCGTGGGGCTGCGTGGTCCGTGGAGCGTGCCCCCGGCACTCACTCTTCTTTCTCGGCCAACCACCTCTCACGACTGGGAGAGAGAGAGAGCTCTTCCTCTTCACGACTGGCCGGACGATGCGAGCCGCCGCTTTGGCTGCGGCAGCGCCAGCCCGCCGCCGCCGCCCGCGTCGTAGTCGTCATCAAAGTCGCTGAAAGCGCCGTCGAACTCCTCCTCAGCGTCGGCGGCGCCGATGGAGCGCATATAAAAAGCGCCCGCGTTCGGCACCACCTCCTCGGCCAAGAGCAGCGCCAAATGGGCGTGGTAGTCGTCACTGCTCGGCACCTCATCGAGGTGGATATCCTTTGTTTGGCCGCGTTGCCGTTGGGTTCACACGGGGATTTTAAGGAGAGAAGTGCTGGCCCCCGCAACGCTGCCGTCGTCCCTTGCGACGCCGATCGGCTCGTCCGCCAGGCCAACGTGCGGCAGCACCATCTGCACTAGCTGCCTCGCCTGTCTCGCAAGTTCCGGCCGTCCCTCGAAGTGGAGCAGCTTCCTCCCCGACGCTCCCGGGATCCCCTCGAGCCGCTCTGGCCCCACGTAGGTCCTCGGCGTACCGCATCGCACCCTTTGCGTACTCCAGGAGGGCGTCAAGGGTCCCGAGCTGGCCGTGCGCCGCCGCGAAGCCTCGCACGATTTGCCATTCGTCTCCATCCTCCACGTCGACAACGTCGACGAGACTCGGCATCGTGCCGTCCGTTGCGGTCGAGGACCTTGCCGAGGCGATAGGCCGAATCACTTTGGGCCCCGCCCCCGCCCCCACCCCTCGGGGTGGGGGCACCCGCCCCTGTCGGGCGCCGCTTGCGGCGCCTGGCAGGGGCACCCCCTGGGTGGGGGCCGGCGATTCCCATGCCGGCTCTCCGCCACAACCCCCGCCGGGAGGGAATCCCTGCTCACAGAAAAGGGCTTCGAGCCCTGTCTCGCGCACGCCCCTGGCGGGCGCCGCGGACCAGTTCCGCGAGCGCTCGTCAGCGGGTGGTGTGCGGTTCTTGCCGTAGTTCCTCTTCGGTCGCCTAGCCCCGGCGCCGTCTGGCGGACGCCTGCGTGCCACGAGTGCGAGCCGCTCGCGGTTCGTACGCCCGCTTGCGGGTTCGAGTGGCGGGCTATCCCGCTTGCGGGATGGCTTAGCGGGTTCGAGCCGTCACACATTGGCTGCCGGGGTGTGCCGAGGGGGGGCTGGGTGGGCGGTAAGCCGTCATTGCCCGGCGCTGCTTGCAGCGCTCTGGGTGGTAGTGGCGGCGCTCCAAGAGTGGTGCTCTTGGGAAGAGGTTCCTCCTTTCCGCTCCCCCCCCGCAAGGCGCGAGACACACCTCGAGGAGGCTCCCGCGTGCTCCGGGGGGCTCCCCGGCGGTGAGGGGGCAACCGCTGTGCTCGGCGGTGAGGGGGCAACCGCTGCGCTCGGCATCCTCCGCCAGCGTGCCTGTGACATCCATGCTCGCGCAATCCGGGCCAGCCAGCTGCACAGCGCCGCCAACGAGTCCCGACCTTGATTTTTTTTATACCAAGGAGGCTACACGACGCTCTGGATAAAGATTTTTGCGCAGCGGAGCCG